CTGAGGATGTAACATACTGCATGGCGACTAAAATTAATAATATTGTATTGCTATGAAAGTTGCTAAGGGAGTATATCTTATAAGTTCTCATCACAAGAAAAAAGATTGATAACAATGTGGTTATAGATATTAACTAGACTTACTGTGATGATCATTTTGCAATATATAGATAGTCCCTGCTTTTTGAAAGTCTGCTTTGCGTGACTTCACTTCTGTGAAGGACCTATACTTGTACCTTTTTTTGCTAACTGAAATCCAAAGAGGATTCGAATTATTATGAAAAAAGGTAATTGGGAAGAAGCTTTACACCATCTCAGCTTACTGAAGGTTTCATAGGAATGATCTACTTTCAGATAGCAGGGGAAACCTGAACATAATGTTGAACCATTATATTGTATACCTCAAACTCATATAATGATATATGTCAGTTTTATCTCAATAAAAAAGGAAACAGAATAGATCTTGCAGTAAATTGAGCCAATGGTAGGAAACTCAAGCTGAAACACAATCTCCCAGAATAAAGAGAAACATGATCTCATAGCAGTTTGTGAGAAATAGTGAAAGGTAAGTTTTTATGGCGATAGTTACTTTCATGGAAGAACAAATTAAGAACAAAGAAACAAAGAAGAAACATCTAATAGGCTGAACGACAGCTTTCGCAAGTAAAGCCCTGAGTTAACAGAACAAAAGCACAGAGAGAAATGATAAAAACCAGTAAAGGAATGTGCCCAAGGTCACAGAGCTAACTACTGATGAAGCCAGACTCTGAATGCAGACTTACCTCATTCCCTTCTTTCCTCCACATATGTGTCACCTAGCCATTAAAAAGAAACCTTTCTGCATGCAGTGTGGTACCCTGAATTGAACCCTAAATCAGAAAGGGGACATTATTGGAAAAATTGGTGAAATTCCAATAAAACCTGGAACTTAGTTAATTGTAATACGCCAATGCTAAGTTCTTAGTTTGGGTAATTACACCATAGTTATGTAAGTGTTAACACTAGAAACTGGTTAAAGGGTGTGCAGGTGTGCAAATTCATGTAACTCCAAAATTATTCCAAAATAAACAATGTGTTAAAAAAAATTAAAAGCAATCGCTCAAAAATGGTACCTCGGGTACTACCTTAACAACATACAAGTTAAGAGATTTATTGCCTAAAGTCACATTTTTAAAAGGGCATGCTATGCATTAAGACTGTGATTATAACAGGTTCACTGATGATTTTTTAAATAATGATCTGCCTCGATTATATAGTTTTAAAAAAAAACTTCTTCTGTAACTTTTTTGTACTGTTTTTCCTTTCATGTGGCTAAAAACAGAATACTGTAAGTATTATTCTTTAAAAGCATAAGGTGATCTGGTTGTGATGAACTGCTTTCTATTTAACGGAATATAGTTAAGTTGAAAACTCCAGGGTGGGAGGGTGGGCTAAGTAAGGAAAGAGGGAAACAATATTGAGAAAAAGGGAGAAAAAGGGGAAATAACGGATATGAATGAAAATCAGGGCTCAAGTGTTTCTAAGGAATGAGGGAATTGGGGGAAACAGTGATAAATGATGGAACTGGGGGAAACAGTTATATGAAGAAGAGTAAATCAGAACAGATCAGAGCACTCATTCAAAGCATCAGCCAGAGATCTCTGGGGACCTGGATGACTTACCCCTCTGCCCCCCATCACTTCTGTGACTTACCTTCTCCTCTTCAGCCCCTCCCTCACTGCCCTCCAGCCATCCTGCTTCTCTGTGCTGTTCCTCAGGCAATACTCCCGGCCAGGAACACTCCTCCTCCAGATATCACCCGCGGTTCACGCCTCCTCCCCAAACGCTGCTCAAATGCTAACTTCTCAGTGATGTACTCCCAAGAACACTCACAGGGATCCCCTGGCACTCCAGTTTCCCTGACCTTGATCTCATTTTCTCATAGCTGCTTCCACCATGTGACACTAATTACATCAAATGTCTGTCTCCCCAACCACTACAATGTACGCTCTCAGATGTTGGCTTTTTTTTTTTTTTGATGTTTCCCCAATGCTTGGAATAGTGCTGGGGACACAGTAGGGGCTCCACAAGTTATTTGTTAAATCAGTCAACACATAAATGTGATTTTTCATTAGTATCATTTAAATAAGTGTTATAAAACACTGGTAACTTTCCCAAAGTTCCTTTTTTTGAGCAACCAGAGTCACTTTTTGCGTGCTGGTATTTCCTGGGTACTTTCCACACTGAACAATTACCTCTACAATGTTTTAAAAGGGGGGAGGGGTTGTTTCATGAAAAACTAGACAGTTATCTGCCAGAGATGATTTCAACTCAGGCTCATTCAGTGTCAAGAGTCAGAAAGATCCATTCTTCAGGGGCCTGTTCTTATGAGCTTAAACTTAGTTATTTCCAGAAAAATCTCCCCATTAAAAAAATGTTACATGAACAAATGCTCGTTTGCATGATTCACTAAGCTAATTGAATCCTGTAAGTCCTATCTCCTCATTTTTTTTTCCTTTTTCAGTTTTATTAGGTAGAATTATTAAGTTTGACCGCACATACACATTATATTGCATGTAAATATATATATACAATATACTGCACCTTTTTTTTAAGTTTACATACATGTACTGATCACTGTTCCTAAGAACAGTTTAGAGCTTTAGCTTTTTAAACTTGCATAGTTATCAAAGGAATAAAGCCAACTATAAAGTAAGAATCAACAGAATGCCCTACCCCCTCATTTTAAAGATAAAGAAACAGACCCAGAAAAGCCATCACTTGTTCACCTCCACTTTGGAACATGGCTGATGAAGCACTGAACAGGAGCTAGCTCTAACGAAGATGCAATCATTACCAAATAGCCCAGCTCAGGAACATTTCATAGTGCGGTTGATACAGGAAAATGGGGTGTGAGAGGATGGTCATGTTCCAGGTCTCAGGTGAGCCCCTGGGATGCACCTGTCAAGTGAGGGTCTTGGCTTCATGCAGGAAAGAATTCAAGAGTAAGCCATAACAGAGTAAAGGTAGATTTATTCAGGGAGATGTACACTCCATAGACAGAGTGCGGGTGTCTCACTCAGAAGGGACAGCGGCCACGAGGTGCAGCGTTGTTAGATTTTACGGGCTCAGTAACTTCATATACTAACAAGTGGGAGAATTATTCCACCTAGTCTGAGGAAGGGGTGGGGATTCCCAGGAATTGGGGCACTGCCCATTTTTTGGCCTTTTATGGTTAGCCTCGGAACAGTCACGGCATCTGTGGGAGTGCCATTTAGTACGCTAGTATATTACAAAGAGCAAATTATAAAGCTCAATGTCTACTAGAAGTCAAGTCTTCCACCATCTTGGACCTCAAGCTCTATGGGAGTTGAATCTCTTGCCATCTTGGACCTCAAGGTCTCCTAAAAGTTGAATCTTCTACCATCTTGGTTCTAACCAGTTTATATCATATCCTCAATTGCTGTGTCATTCCTTTAATGGCTATGCCCTGCCTCCTTCCCTCCTGTCTCACAGTCCCAGTCCAGGCTGAATATTTTCAGCTGACCATTTAACTAAACCTTCATTTTCTCCAACTTACTCCCATTTCATTGGCTCAAAGATGCTCGTGAGCAGTTGCTTTATATTGTTTGAACAGTCAAGATGCTCTGCCTTGATATCACTAGCCGAGCAGACAATGTGATCACCTCCTAAAGTATTTTAGCATGCTCCAGGACCCCTGTGCCTTCCAGAACCCCCTCAACATTCAGCCTCTTATTCCAGCCCTCTGCTTTCCATCTTGAGAGCAGTGCAAGACCAATTTATTTTACAAATTTCTGCTCTTTTCAGTTGATGGATTGTCCATTAACTCTCATGAAATCAAATGGAAGTAGCTTCAGGGTCTGAAAATGTGTCACTTCTCCCTTTTAAAAAAAAGCCTTAGCTGAAAAGTTGCACACATGACACTGTTTGGTCATTAAGTGGGAAAAAAAAATTGGGTGTAATATTTTTTTTTCCTCAGAGGCAGCAGGAGCACTTAATCCACACAAGTCCATTCCCCAGGTCCCCAGACAGTCATCTCTTGATGTTCAAAGGGGCACAAAGGCAGACACTTTGGCAAAAAAGTCTATAAAATGAAGCTGCTATGGACCAAAACAACCATATTGATTTTTTAGAACAATTCAAAACACAAGGAAACATCAGTTTTCTAAATGATACACACAAACCAACAGGGAGAAATACACTGCAAATAGTGGAGAGAAGGAGAAGGCTAAAAGACGATTACATTAGCTAACCTCTGAGTGTTCTTTTAGATCGTTTGTTTTTCAAGAGGCTTGAATTATGCTGAACTGTCTCTCCTTATCTAAAAATCTCAGATTTCTCCTTTATGGACAGGACACGTCCTCACAGCCGGAAGCCTGGACACCCAGTGGAACGTCAGGATATAAAGCCGTATAACCCTCTGAACATTTGAACATCCTCTTCAAAGCCCAGAGTTATTTTTCCCAATTAATATTTCCCTCTCTTTCTTGTAAATGGCCGAGCTGTCTAAACTGCAATATAAACACATTACAATGACACAAATGAACTTCTTTACAAAGCAGATACAGACTCACAAACATAGAAACAAACTTCCTGTTATCAGGGGGAATCGGAAGCTGTGGAAGGATAAATTGGGCGTTTAGGATTTGCAGATACAAACTGCTATAAACGAAAAAGATAAACAAGGACCTACTGTATAGCACAGGAAAGTATATTCCTTACCTTGTAATAGCCTATGATGAAAAAGAATATGAAAAGGAATATATATATATATATATGTATAACTAAATCACTATGCTGTGCACCAGAAATTAATGCAACATTGTAAATTGATTATACTTCAGTTAAAAAACACACACACACACATTATTCACCAATACAGCAGGCAGTTTACTGCAAGCAAATATTTTCCTTTGAAATCCTTAATGAGACAAAATGCCTTTCAAGCCAGAGACCTTTAGAAGGAAGGTTCGGAATCAGAAGCAAGCAGCCAGGACTTACCATGGCCCCCTCACTTCTTCTTTGGGCAACTTCCCTCTGCAGCTGGGCCACAGCCAACTTCTCCCTAGAGAAATAAAAGCGTGTGATCAGTTGACCATCCTTCTTAGAGCAGAGGTATGCTGGCCTGGCTTCAAAACATTCTTTGGAGGTCTCCGGAGGAACCCCTTCCTTGGTTTAGCTCACTTCCTCCACTAAACTTTCTATAAATATTTAAAGTGATTGGTCATTAGTGCATTGTTTTCACTGAGTGTCATGAAAGAGATTTTTTTTGCCTTGGATTTTATAATCACCAGATACATCTTGAATGTGAGTCAAAGCTCCCCTTTAAGTTCATTAATGCATATATTGGTCAATAAATTGTCTGTGGCTAAGATATTTCAGTTGTCCTTTGGTATCAACTTTGCTCATAAATATTTTTACTTGTATTTCTTTTGTTGCCCTAAGCTGATTCTGAATTTCAAAAAGCAAACAAAACCTAACTCTGTACCATTCTTGAAATAAAGACAGAAAATCATTTGCAGGCTGGCTACACAACAGGCATGGTACTGGTCATTTTACCTGATCTCCTATGAGCCTGACAACAACCCTACAATAGGTTTTATTATCCCCATTTCACAGATGTGGAAACTGAGGCTAAGAGAGAATAAGTAACATATAGAGCCCCAGCTGGTATGTAGTAATATTAGGATCCATCTTAAAGCTTTCCTTAGTTCAAAGCCTAAGTAAAACTTTGGCATGTCACTTTTCAGGGTCTAAGGAATATGAAAATCTAGAATTAAAAATCAGATTATTTAAGTATGCTTTATTTTACAACAGGCTTTATTTTGTATCCGTTATAATTGTAATTCTGATTTCACTTACAAACCATTTAATGCTCACCAAAATTGTAAGAACACTTTTGTAAAGTGACAGATATCTTCATTTTGGCCAGCTTTTCAATTATTCTTAAAAGAGTTGATGGATGAAGTAGGGTAAGTGAATTCTTCCAGTAATCCTCAAATCTGAGTTCTAGCAAGGGTTTCTCCTGAAGTCCTCTACTGCTCTCAAGATGTGAAGCTATTTGGGAGCTATTTCATGTCTCAGCCTCCCCTCTGCATAGGATCAGCTATATGCAAACAGAGAGGAAGAAACTTAAATCCCAAATGAGGGAGAGGATTTCTCCCCTCCTAACTGCTTGCGTCTTTGAGATGCCTAAGACTGTCAAGATGGCCTGTATTTTAGTTTGGTTAACGATGAGTAGTACTAAAAAGTAGGAATAGTTCTCTCCCTGACTACGTAGCTAAAGACAGAGAATAGAAGGAGGAAAACTAGAACCAGGAGACCTTAGAAGGATATGTAAGTTTTGGGAGCCTGGGGCAGGAGCCCTGCTTGTACCCGGCGAGAGGGGCAACCAAGTAGATGGGAAGAAGCCAGAAAGAGACAGGGTCACGGGCCTCTTTTTGAGGTAAGCAAGGCAGAGTCTACACGTGTTTTCTGACCCAAGGTCTGCTGAGCAGATGAAAAGTCAAATGAAAGGGGCAAAGATTTGAAAGAGAAGAATGTGGCTGACTTCCAGTTTAACATGAAAATTAAACACATGATAAATACTCTTAAGGACCAAAAAAACACTGGAGGAGAATATTCTCTATACTCTGTGACCCAGCAAGTCCCCTCTGAGGTGTACACCCAGCACAGATGCATATATATATTCACTAAAAGACATGTACCAGAGTGTTCATAGAAGGACTGCTTCAGTAGCCCTAACCTGATGGTGTACACGCCCACTGACAATAGAACGGATAAACCCCAACACAGTTACACACTGGGACACTACACAGTGCTGAGAAGGAATGATCAAGACCTCATCACAACAATACTGCTGAGTGAAAGAAGCAAATGCAGATGAGTATATATTTTATGATCCATTTATGTAAAGTTCAAAGACAGCAAAATTCTTATCCAGTTTGATACGGTGAGAAAAAGAAATTACACAAATATCAAAAAGGAAGAGGTAAAACTGTCTATATTCACAGATGACATAATTCTCTAAAAAGAAAATCCTAAGGAATTTACAAAACAACCATACAACTAATAATTTAGCAAACTCACAGGACATAAGCCAATACATAAAAATCAATTGTGTTTTTATGTACTAGCTTCAAACAGTTGGAAAATTAAATTTAAAGAATCTATAATAGTGTCAAAAACATAAAATACTTAGGCACTAAATTTAATCAAATACTTGTTAAACTGCTACACTAGGAACTACAAAACACTGCTTAGAGCAGTTAAAGGAGATTTTTACACACACACGTTCCACCCTCCCCACATTCATAGATTGGAGGCTCAATATTACACTATCAAAATTTGTACCAAATTAATCTACAGATTATTTCTCACTGGGATGTACAGCTCTACCAAACTAAATTAAAAGAACCCACAAGCCACTCTAGTGCTAAGGATGATAATTACATTAATATAACAATACCTGAACTCATTGTTTTCCCCGTATACTGAATATGGAGACGTCTAACTACTAGTCTAAACTCTAAACACACCGTTTCATATTTCCCTTGATTCTTTGTTTTGTATATCTTTTCCCTCAATAAGCTCATAAATTCCTCCTTGACCACAGCAGTGGCAGCCAAAATTGCTGACTGATGTATTTTTTGCACGTGGTGAGTCGTGGTGTAGTTACTATCTCACTGCACCAGCTGCTGCCCTGAATGTTGAGATCACACGTAGTCCATCTCTGTAACACCTACTAAGGGTTGTTTTGTAGAAACACAATAAATGTTTGTGATTTGCTGAGTGAGGAATCAGTCACAGAATCTAATATCAACTTGCCTAGTATAATGGAATTTTTAATAACTACCAATTTGCATTTACAAGTATACAACACACACACTTGCACCCACAATGTTTCCCGCAGGGCACCTCTGGCTCTGACTGGCCACAAAAGCGTTTTTACACACATTCTAAAATGATGAAGAGCATGGCGTCCGTAGATTACCAGGAAAATACCTGAGTAAGCTTCAATACAGTAAATTCCTATATAAGAACATGGAATGAGGGGATGATAGTACAGAGGTTCCCACATATTTTGGTTAAAAATTATTGAGGACCCAGAAGAGCTCAAGTTTATCTGGGTTATAGCTACTAATGTTGACCAAGAGAGTTTTTTTTTTTTAATGTGGGTCACATTCATTGATATTTACCACATATAAATGAAAACAGGTAGTTTTAAAACACATTTATTAATTCATTAAAAATTAACAAACCCACTCTAACATAAGTTAAACATTTTTATGAATACTCTTATATTTCAAAACAAGAAAAAATGTCATGAGAAGAGTAACAAATCGTTTGAGTTTTGCAAATATATCTTTAACGTCTGCCTTGATAGAAGACAGTTGGATTCTCAGATCTGCTTCTGCATTCAACCTGTTGTGAGAGCCCACATCCCAGTGAGTAATAATTTATAGACTAATTTGGTACAAATATTGACAGTGTAATATTAAGTCGTGTAGCTTCTAGAAAACTCCACTACAAACTCATAAAAGAATGTGAGACAAAAACGGCAAACTTCAGCTTAGTGTTATTACAAACATAGTTTGGAAATGCAGATCCCTTGAAAGGGTCTTGTGAGCGCCCAGGGTCTCAGGACCACGTTTTGAGAACTTCACCCAGAAGACAGGTACAGAACTAGAAATGGAAGAACATTCTGGAAAATTTCCTGTAATCATCATTTCTGATTGCTGAATCTTCAGAGAAAGATGTAATACATACGCCAACAGCCTGTTGTTGTTTAGAAGAGTAGTTTAGCACAAAGAAGACATTTCTAGAAAGCAAGCAACAGTCTATGTTATTACTATCATCCTACCAAGTGACAAAATAATCCTGATACAATTTAAAGGTTACAAACATTACTATTTTATCCTTAAAAGAGATTTCCTTTATAGGACTGTTAGGAATTATCGCACAGTATAGGTGCTAGTCAAATCTTATTCAGTTCAATTTGAAAGAAAACTTCAATGGTTTTAGACATTACACAGTTCAGCAGGAAAATATTAATAAATCATAAAATGTTGTGGTCTGTCCACAGATTTTGCTGGCTTTCAATAAAGAAAGTGTGACTGAACCAACATGGAAAACCAACATTCAAAAGTGGTATCACATTAGCCATTTGATCTGGTGAAACAGAATAAAATGTGTACAACTGGGAATGACAACTTTTGATCTCCCCCTACGTGAAGAGATGTGCTCAGTTTCACGCAGCCTTGTGGAAATGTGTGACTGACACACAGAGAATCTCAGAGTAGTCTGGGTCACAGGAAGGACAGTCCCCAACCCTAGCTGTTCCTTGGTCCTCCTCATTCACAAGCCGGAAAATTGCTGAAGTCTCATTACATAGGAACCACTCTCATTGAAAGTGGCTGAATGGTGGAGAACCTGCATGAACAGCAAACACGAGTGCCTCGTTGGGTTCACGCTCTGTAATTGCTCTAAATCATTTACTCAAGAAGTGTAACACACAAAACATCATGGAGCCAAGACCCCTAAGGATTCTGAGTAACAGCCTCGCGTCTTCAATGGAGTGGGTAGGCAAGATCAGTGGGAGCTAAGGGCACCCCAATTTTATGTACTAGGAATTATTTGATGTAGTTGGAGCACATTTCCTTTGAAAAGAGGATTTCAAGGATAAAACACACAAAAAAGTTCTTTCTTGAGGTTCAGTACTTTGAATCTCCCAAATCTTTCAAGTTCTTGGTATTCCATGTGTGTAAATTTTATGTCAGCAGAAGCTTTTTTTTTTCAGCAGGAATTGTATTTTTTATGTATATGAAAGAAGGAATTGTATTTTTTGTGTATAATCATTCGTTATTAAAATTAAGGAAGTGATGGAGTTGTTGAATGGGTGAAATCATCTATGAGAAAAATTCTTAGGATTTCCAGATGTTAATATTTCTGGCCTCAAATTATGAACTGAAAGTATTAAAAATAAATAGGTCTTTTTCTTTTACAGTAATCTCATTTGCCCTTAGGTTTAGTGGTCCCTTGGCAAACCATATCTTCAAACCCCTC